CTTTCCTTTTCTTTCCTTTCTTTCCTTTCCTCTTTTCCTTTCCTCTCCTTTCTTTACCTTTCCTTTTCTCCTTTATTTCCTTTCCTTCTTTCCTTTCCTCTCCTCTCCTTTTCTTTCCTTACCTCGTTTCCTTTCCCCTCTTCTCCTATCCTTTCTTCCTCTCCTTTCCTTACTTCCTTATCTTTCTTTTCCTACTTTCCTTTTCTTTCCTTTCTTTCCTTTCCTCTTTTCCTTTTCTCATTTCCTTTCCTTTTGTCCTTTCCTTTCCCTCCTCCTATCCTTTCCTTTCTTCCTTTCCTCTCCTCTCCTCTCCTTGACATTGATCTGTGACACCGTCCGGCCTGTCCTCGTCTCTCTCTGATGGTTGTCCTTCGTCTGTGCACACACTCATCCATCATCCTCACACTCACGTGATAAATAACGTACGACTTCTAACGACTCGGTGCAGCAGTGAGTTCCACGTGAAGCCAACGCTGCTGTAGTCGGAGTGAAGGTTCCATGAAGGTCACTCCGTCTCCTCTAACTAATGTCCTGGGCTGCGTTAAGGTTTCTGAGCAGGTCGTGGCTCAACACGTGGAGCCCTGGCTGACACCGTGACGGCGCTGACAGCCGAATGGCTTTGATGTTAAACATCAGCAGCGGTGAATAAAAGATCAGTTCTGGAGCGAGGACAGGCGTCTAATGAGGCGGAGCTTCAGACGGCTGTGTGTGTGTGACTGATGCTGGTGTAGCTGTATTGTGGGGACCTTTTTTTTACTTAAAAACTAATGTGTGTGTGTGTGTGAGTGTGTGTCCCAATATGGATAATATTTTCCCAAACTATGGCTGTGTCTAGAAAAATCTAGAAATGATGGATTATTATTATTTAGTTCACACCTCATTAATATCACTGTTAATTTCAACCTCGGGAAAACAGTTGAATTTGTTATTTATCATCTTCGGCTGCCCAAAAAAAAAAAAAACAAACAAAAAATGCTAATTAGCAAGCAGCTAAAAGTAATTTATCAAAAAAAAAAAGCGACCTTTATGTCCCAACAGTCGTCTGTCCTTTACAGTAAATAAACATTTGGATTAATAAATAAATCCTCACCTGTCGCTGAATAAAAATAATAAAAGTAATAACACGACCGCTCATCTGTCTTAGTTAGACAGGCCCAGCAAACATCCTCGGTGACTGATGCATTAATTAGTTTAGCTAATGATCTCATCAGAGCTAACGGTTGATTTATCCTGCAGATTAGGTGGGACATTGAACGGGTGACGCTGCCGTCAGATTCTCACCGTGTCCCTCATTAATCTCTGCTTCTCATATGTCGTGATAAACCTCACTTTGAGCCTCGTTTCTACACAAGCATTAATATCACGTCCCTAAAAACAACAGCAGCTAAGAT